AAAAATTATTATTAAATTAAATTATTTTAATTTTTATATAATAATATTTAAAATATTACTTACTAATATTAGATCTTTTTTTATTTTTAGACAATTCCATTTTAGTTTGAAATCTTTTTAGATTATTAAATTTTTTTATTGATAAATTTTTAGGAGCTTTAAATAGTTTTTAATAGTTTTTGTATATTATCTTTAGAAGATTTATTTCCTTCATTATTGATTTTAATAATAGAAAATTCTAGTAAATCTAACATTACTTTATGTAAATGATAAATAATACTATGTCTAATACCTTTACTTAATATACAATTACCATGTAATAATAAACGAGAACGAAATGCTAAAATTTGTTCTGGTTTTAAAGGTATTACAATGTTAAGTTGAGGAAAACATATTTCACCTTCTTCATAATCTCTTAAAGTAATTAAAATATAAAAACTATTGGCTTCATCATTTTTATTCTAATGAAAATCACTTATTGTATTAAAATTAATAGCAATCATTGGAAAAATTCCAAAAGATCTTGATGCAAATGGATCCCAAGAAAAATTGCTTAATTTTGTGTATAAATTATTATAATGCTCTTTGACAAATTGATTAACACAATTTAATAATAGTTCAAGAGTAATAATTAATTTATTTACATAATCTAAATGATTTATATTATGACTACTTGTTATATCTGCACTAATATAAGGAAAACTAGTATATTTTCTATAAGCTCCAAAATGTTCTGCTATATCTTTTCAAAAAGAGTTACTTCTATAAGATGGATTATCTAAAGTATGAAAATAATAATCATTAACAGTTTTTGTTGCTTGTAAAATGATATTATTATTATTAATATTTTCTAAATGTATTAATGTTTGATTATTTTGATTTACAATATATTCAGATTTAGTTAAATAATAATAATTTTTTAATTTATTTAATGTATTATTATTTTGATTTGCTGATCCAATTAATGATTTAGATATAATATTTTTATTAGTAATATTAATATCAAATATTATTTTTTGATTTTTTTGACTTTTTAAATCATGGTAAAGTTTTCTCCATTTATTTTTAATAAATTTTCTGATTGTTTTCTTTTTAATTAGTTTTTTTAAACCTAACTATTTATCAAATGATTTCCATAATTTTTTATTAATATTATTATTATTATCATGATTATTATCATTCTCTTTATCATTCTCTTTATCATCCTCTTTATCATTCTCTTTATCATTCTCTTTATTATCCTCTTTATCATCCTCTTCATCATTCTCTTCATCATCTTCATCATCTTTATCATCTTCATCATCTTTATCATCATCTTCATTATCTTTATTATCCTCTTCATCATCTTTATTTCCATTTTCATCTTTATTTTCATCTTTTTTATCTTGTTCATCTTGTTCATCATCATTATTATCATTAATTATTTTATTTTTTATTATATTATCAATTAAACTTAAATAGGTTAAAGGAATTTCAAATATTTCTTTAGGGGTTATTTCTCCAATTAATGTTGAAATTAATAAATCTTTTAAAGAAATATCACATTGTTTTTTTATATTTTTTGATG